TACCTTCATTGATATTATTTATTGTATTGCCCTGGTTTTATAGCGGTTATGATTATACAGCAAATGTTTTTATGATATTTGCATGCAGTTTTTTTAAATACCATATAACCATGATCTAGCTTCAGAAGCTCCCTTTCTTTTATCTGGTCCATTGAACAAAGTTTGCCGTGATATAAATAAAAAGTCAACATCAGCCCTTCAGAGTGAGCAGTTTAACAGTCGCTTGCCAGAAGCACATTTCTTTCAGCTGACCCAGCAATGGTGCCCGTCCGCTTGTTGCTTAAAGGGATATTCCTACAAATCAATATCTGTTAACGTGACAGAAGAGTCAGGGACAGTGAAATGACCTTTTAATGTGACTGGGCTATTATGCTAAGGTGTAAATGAGATGGGCAGACTTCCAAAATAGCAGAAGGTGCAATAGGGGTAATAAAATCCAATAATGTTCAGCACCAAATAGAAATGTGTTGCCTTCTAATAGTTTTGAGACTATTTCCTGAAAGTTTAGACCATATTGTTCTCAGAACAAATGGAGATTGGGAAATAGAAGAATTGTCAATGAGGATCTCAATCTGGTGGAACATATTTGAATTCCCGGTTTGCAAAGAGACCTAATAAATAAACTAAATTCTTCTTCTAAGGTAACCCAACAGTTGAACAGTAAGTGTCTTACTAGTAGTGAATCCATCAGTGAGTGGCTCTGATTCGCCGTCGTTGTACAAGGCAAAAATGGCTACTGAGTACTCCATCAGAGACGTCAGGTCACTGAGGTCATAAGAGCTCACTGGACCGACCTCCACCTGGAAGACAAACACAGACACTTTTACATCAATTTTACAGCTACTGGACATCTGTATATGGTCCAATTGGTGAGAAGGCTTGTTGTCACATTGCTGGACGGAGGATCAATTATTTCAAATATCTTTCAAATGTGGAGGCATCAGAAAATAGAAATAATAATCCTCTATGTTACAGAGAACCAAAGGCAAAGTGGAAGGTGTAAAACAAGATGCAATTCTCAGTGTGACTGACTGATTTTAAATACAGTTTATTCTAATTTCACATCATTTTCCAATGATGGCAAATAAGCAAAATATATCTTTGCTTCAACTACAGTGATGACTGCAATTTAGCGA